TATATGTATATCCTAAACCCTAAACCCTAACCTTCCCCTTAAGCACAAGTAAGGTTGGCTTCCTCATCTTCCGGGCTCTCTCCTGGCTCCCGGAGGCTGCAATCCTGCCACTCGTCCTCTGGAGTGTCTCTTTTTTTGGGAGTTTGGGTTTAGGGTTTAGGGTTTAGGGTTTAGTTTAGGGTTAAGGGTTTATGGCTTGAGGGTTTTTTTTTCCTGAAAGATTTGGGGCTCTTCGGAATTGCGGGTGTAGGGTTTAAGACTCGGGGCTTAGGAGTTTGTGACGACCTCCGCGTGGTGGTTTGCAGCTACGACTCTGGTGAAGCTGCCAAGTTGGTCAACCATCCAAGAGTAGATCCGTACGTGGGACGGCAAAAAAGTAGTTCTGAACGCATTTCATGAGTTCCTGATTTCACAGCTAGTTTCAGTACATCCGATACCCTGATCCTCAAACCCTAAGCCCTGCGTCGCCCAAGCTCATCCCAGGAGTCGGTTTACATAAGCAGAGTTGGAAAAGGGCCCACGAAGAAGAAGCTAAACGGTTTAGGGTTTAGGGTTTAGGGTTTAACCCTAAACCCCTAACCCCTAAACCTTGAACTCGGATGAAATTTAGAACACCTCTCCAGGAACATTGTTGGCCTCGCCGGAACTCTACTCTTTTGCTGCATCGACTTCCTCTACGGTGACCGCGAGTCCGTGAATAAGCACCTCTGCTTGAAGGTTCAGGGTCCTGGGTTTAAGGTTTAGGGTTGAGGGTGCAGGGGTGTACCCGACACTAAACCCTCAATTGTGTAGCGGGGTGGAGTTCAGAGTGTCGTGGTTAAGCTCAGGTGTCATGGTGTAAACCGAGTTGCCAGTCCTTTCTGTCGACAGGTTGGGGTGTGTAGGCTTTTTTGGACACGATGGATGCTTTATGCCTTCAGGTGTACCCAGCCCTTCCCCAAAGATGAGAGGGAACATCTTCCTTACATTCTGTGCTGTCTTGATCCCCTACCTTAGTGTAGACCCATGATTGACAGACCCCTGTCTTTAAGGGCCTGCACAATAGGATCTCCCCATCGGAACCCCTTGTCAATACTTTACTGCCTGAACCCTAAACCCTAAACCCTAAACCTTAAACCCTAAACCCAATCCCTCGTCATATTGTTTCACTATGCCATCCCTGCAACTATCGGCTCTGTCTTCGAAACCGCTTCTATCGTTGAACCCTACGCAAGGGATCTTGGGACTTAGTATCTCTAGGGTTATACTTGGGTTGAGGGTTTAGGGTTTAGGATTTGGGGTTTAGGGTTTAGGGTTGAGGGTTTAGGGTTATAAGTTATAAGATAGCTATACTGATAGTTTTTATAGGGTTACAACTAAGATAGCTATACAGTTTCTTAGAGCCCCAACTAAGGTACTTCCAACCTCACTTACAAAGCCCCTAAGTCCCATGATCCTCCTCGAGTAGAACGTACAATGATGACCATCTTGAGCAACCCTAAACCCTAAACCCTAAACCCTAAACCCTAAACCCTAAACCCTAAACCCTAAACCCTAAACCCTAAACCGACTGACTGGGTCCCATGATCCTTTAAGTACCGCAGTCCCTCAGGCCAAACACACCAGACTCCCCTGACCGATCCTGCCCTAAACCCTAAGCCCCTAAATCCCTAAACCCCTAAGCCCCTAAACCCCTTACCCCTAAACCCCTAAACCCCTAAACCGTAAACCCCTAAACCCTAAGCCCTAAACCCTGAACCCCTTAGGGTTTAGGGATTCTCGCAATCGGCGCTACTTTTTGCAACCGGGAGTTCCTGAAAGCTACACTCAGAGTCGATCCACTTAAAGGATCTTGGGACTGCGTAAGTAAGGTTGGAAGTACCGCAAGTAATTATGAGTTTTGTTGCATGAATTTCTAGAGTAGCCGACCCAGAGCGGCTCAGGTACCGGCTGAATTGCAGCTATGAGGTCGTGAAGGCTCAGCTGTGACTCTGCTTAGCAGCAGCCTGCAGTTGGTAATTTGTCCTTGCTAGTGGCTGCTAGTGGCCTGTTTCTGGGCTGTTGGCCCCTAAACCCAAAGTTCATGCGTTGTCGCAGAAGTACTCTCTCGTAGCTTGACGAGAACGAAGGTTCCGAGGGTTCCGGGCTGTGTGTCGTCAAACCTAAACGCTAAATGCAAAACCGAAAGTTGTTGGGTAAACAGAGAAAGAGCAAGAGAGAGCGACAGGGAGAGAGAGAGAGAGAGAGAGAGAGCGAGAGAAGAGAGAGAAACAGAGAGAGGGAGAGAGAGAGTAGAGAAGGAGAGGGAGGGAGAGGCAGACAGAGAGTCAGAGAGACAGAGGGAGAGAGAGAGAGAGAGAGCAAGAGCGATCCCCAGACCCTAGACCCGGATGCAGACAACTGAAGGAGCAACTCTCAGCAAGTGTGCAACGAGACAAGGCAGCAAGAAGTCCAAGGAAATCGACTACTAAAAATTCACACAACCCAAAGATCTGAACCCTAAGCCCGAGACTAAAAACCTACCCCTGCAGGTCCTGCCCAACCGGGTTTTCGTGTGCCGGCGGGTGGGAGCCACGGATTTCGAGAAGCTGTTCGGCTACCGGGGGACCGTGCATCAAAACATCTCAGGCCTGATGTTTGGGGGAAGATGTTAATAATATCATAGTTGTCTTTTTGCAACATTACGGTAGCATTATGGTCAGAATATAGCAACATTGTAGTTGTAATATGGTGGTGTTACTGCTATATATACTTTATTGACCTCACTATAGCTAGGTTATAGTAATACTTTAGCAATTCTTCATAGTTACACTTTTGTAATTCCAAGCGGGAGCTCTAAAGGACTGTTAATAGTGAGTATGCCGGCTGGAACCGGGAGAAGCGGTTCAGGGTTTCGGCGCTTCTCAGTCACAGTCTATTGAAAACCACGTTTTCACGTATGACAGCTCAGTGACGAACGCTGCGGCGCTTCTCTTACGGCCCTTGTTGGAGTCGGATTGAATTCTGAACCCTAGGCACTTAGCCTTAAACCCTAAACCTGAAACCCAAAGCCCTGTTCTAATCGTTGAGGCAGCCCCCCTAACGGCGGGAGCGCTTAAGGGGAGCCTATATGACAGGAGCCACTGTAAGCTAAGTTTCTGCTACATTCTTCATGCTTAATATAGGAACCATGAAGAATCCCTGGATCTCTGTTAGGGTCCTTTTGTTAGCCTCATATAGTGGGGTTATAGGACTAGGGTTTCTTAATCAGGTTCCTTCATTATCCTCTCTTTGACTGTGGAGCTTGCGCTTTTTGCTCCGAAGCTCCAGCAGTATGCTTGAGCAAGCTACCTCATGGGAGTTAGCCATGTTTCCCAAACCCCAAACCCTAAACCCTAAACCCTAAACCCTAAACCCTAAACCCTAAACCCTAAACCCTAAACCCTAAACCCTAAACCCTAAACCCTACCCAAGCCCTAAAGGTTTGACTTTAAGCCCCAAGAGTTCCAAGAATCTCACACCCTGAAAGCACGACACAAACCTGGCGAGACCTGGGCGAAAATCCGTGCAGCACACTTAGACAAGCCATATGGGTGGTTGTCAAAATTATGGTCCCTTTTTGGGTCCTTATTATAATACGGCACCTATTATTTAGGGTACCCCAAAAGGGACCATAATTTTGACAACTACCCATATCTACACCCTTTGTGGCTCCCAAGAAGTAAGAAGAAATGTGCTCAAAGGGCTGAATTCTTCAACCCTACACCCTGAACCTTAAACCCGTAAGCCTCAAACCCGTGAGTTCTTTTTAGGGTTTAGGGGTTTAGGGTAGTCCCGAAACCCTGAACCTATATAGTAGAAGCCCAAAAGCTGGAAACAAAATAGCTTCAACCCCTAAGAGTAATGCATAGGGAGTCCCAGCACTATTTGTCCTGAATCCGGTTTCCAACTTTTTGGGGCTTACTGTAGTCCCTAAGCCACCAAAAACCCTAAACCCTTAACCTATAATCCCGAAACCTAAACCCTAAACCCTAAGCCCCAAAATCGAAAGTAACTTCATGCTGGGAGGAAGGGTCTCAACAAAAAAAGGCAAAGTGTGAAGGACCCTAAACTCTAAACCCTAAACCCTAAATCCTAAACCCTAAACGTGAAGGAATGGGCTCCTGGGGCCGGGATATGACGCTCATCGCCGAGGTAGCGCCGGCAATCGGATTAGGACTTTCGGGGTTTAGGGTTTAGGGTTTTAGGGCAGGACTTTCGGGGTTTAGGGTTTTTAGGGTTTTTTGGCCGGGTTTGACGGTTTAGGGTTTCGGGGTTAGGGCTTTAGGCTTACCCTAAACCCCAAACCCTTACAATTTTGAGTTGAGTTTCAGTCTTATTTAATTTTGTGTCTTGGAAGAATGCGGCGGAGGCTCGGGGGTCCAGAGCGCACTGTCTTCCGAGCTGCGTGGGGGCTTGTAAATATTTAGGAGCTGTCTAAGGTTTAGTTAGGGTTTAGGCAGGGATGTTTTTGAATTGTTCAGGGTATAATTCGGGTTTAGGGTTTAGGACTGTTATTGAAATGTTTAGGGAGTAGTTCGGGTTAAGGGGTTCGATTTCTTGCATGGTTTGAGAGAATAGCGGCTTTATCAAGCACTCCACGGGCTGACGGCTGGGGAGTTCAAGATTTGTGGGTTGGTTCTCAGCATACTAAGCGCTTTCGGGCTTTCTGTGGCCGGAACCCTAAGCCCTAAACCCTAAACGAAACGAAGGAGTCGATGTTATTGTGGGAGTGTTTAGGGCAAAAAGTTTATGGAGGGTTCCGGGGATTTAGTTTGAGGTTTATCGGCGAGGTTTCTGCCGGGGGTTCGAGCCTGAACTGAGGATGTCAGGTATTAGTAGTTTAGGGTTTAGGGAGTTTAGGGTTTAGAGATTTAGGGTTTAGGGTTTTAGGGAGTTTACGGTTTAGAGATTTAGGGTTTAGGGTTTAGGGTTTAGAGATTTAGGGTTTAGATCTAGAGGTTCGGGTTTGGGGTGGGGCTCGAGCGTTGCAAAGCTTTGAAGGTGATGGGGCTCTAGCTACACGAACCCGGAAATCCTCAATCACGAACTGGGCCTGCGGGCCTCATAGAGGTTTGAACAAACCGAATAGGTCTGGGGGCTTGGGGAAATATTCTGAAAAGCCTAAACCCTAAATCCTAAGCCCACGACCCAAAACCCTACAAGCCTAAACCCTAAACCGTCGGGAACAGTATTCTATATTCGTCATGCCACAGTATAACTCCCGCTTCGCTCCTTTTTCGAGGTATGTCAATATCGAGCTCTCCTCAGGATCCCTTAGTAAATAATGATCCAGGTCCCTATCCCTAAACCCGAAACCCCTAAACCCCACAACCCATGGCTCCTAAACCCCACAACTTTAAACCTCTAAGCCCCAGAGCCCTAAACCTATAAACCCCACAGCCCTAAACCCTAAACCCCTAAACCCCACAACCCGAAGCGCTCTACGAAAGCCAAAACGCCGTCCCCAGAACTTTAGGGTTTGGGTTTAGGGCTTAGGCTTTAGGGTTTAGGATGAGGGTTCAGGCTTGAGGGTTCTAAAGAACTACCGTTCAAGCCGAAGCTAAACCCTAAACCCTAAACCCTAAACCCTAAACCCTAAACCCTAAACCCTAAACCCTAAACCCTAAACCTCAACTTCGAGACCAGGGGCCCAAAAGCGCTTAAACCGAGGCCCCAAAGCCCCTAACCCCAACTCCCCACAATGCTGGACCCACAACGTTTTTGGGTTTATGGGGTTCAGGGTTTGGGGTTTAGGGTTTATAATAGGGGCTAAGGGGTTGCGCAAAACCCTAAACCTGAAACCCTAATTCCAAACCCTAAATTCCTAAACCCATCAACTCCAAACCCCAAACCCTAAAGCCATAACCTGAAACCACAAACCAGAAACCCCAAACCTGAAACCCTAAACCTGAAACCCTAACCCTAAACCGTCAATCCCTAAACCCCAAACCCCCAAACCCCAAACCCTAAACCCCATACACCCCAAACCCGAAACCGTAAACTTGAAGCCGCACCTTAACCCTCAAACAACCTACGTTTTTAAGGACTTATATGAACCATTCATAATAAGGACCCTAAACCCTAAACCCTAAAAAAGTAGGTTCTTTAGGAAACCGCCCCCGGATGTTCCGCAGCCTCCAGTTGATGGGATGCATCTTCGAGCTCCGCCCATTCACTGCGAAGGCCAGCTTGGAAGGATGGGTCTAGGATAATTTCAGGTGGGTGGTTACCGTTATAGGAGCCTTATAGAAGGTCTATATACCTTATAGAAGCCTTATAAAAGCCCGATATACCCTAAACTCCCCACCTGCAGTTTCCTTTAAACGGGTTTGGCCTTAATTCTTAGTGTTATTGGTATTACCGGTATTCTTATTGTTACTAGTATATTGCTATTATTACTATTCTTGCTATTACTATTACTAATTAGTATTGTGATTAGTACTAGTATTAGTGTAACCCCACATTTTTAGGATTCATGACAGGTCGCAGCCTTGGACACACAGTGCGGCAATTAAAAATCTGGCTGATAGCAAGAACCTCAATAAAGACTCAGGGTTTCTTAAGCAGGTTCCTATATTCGAGATTTAGCACGTTCCTATATTCAAGATTTAGCACTCCCGGCCAGCGTTAGGGACTGTTGTAGCAGGATACCCCAGGTTGCATTGCATCTTTATCGAGGTAGTGAGACACGAGGGTGCATTCAGACTGCATAAACCGAAGCTGCTAAAGCCCCAATTTCGGCCTAAACCCTAAACCCTGAAACTCTCTCCGGAAGCCCTACCTACATCAATGGCTTCAAAGTCTTGCCAGAGCCCTAAACCCATGCAATACCCTACACCTACTGTTGATGATAGAAATCCTGCATTACCTTAAGGACCCTAAACTATGGGAATTATGGTATATTCCTTATAATTGTGGGTAGTGCAGGATCCATATCATCAACCGTATAACCCCTATATAATCCCAAGCCTTAAACCCTAAACCCTAAAGCCTATAAAGCCTAAAGCCCAAAGCCCTCAGGACCCGTAGTTTCAAGCGCTGTCCAGGATTGGGAGGTCCTGATCAACGAGGTCCCGGGTGCAGACAACGCCAGGCCTGCAACTAATGTAGGAACCTAAGTAGTTATTATCATGATTCCTTAGGGTTCCTTTAAAGCCTCATAGCCCTAAACCCCATTAAGACCCCCAAAACCTAATGTAGAGGCCTAAATAATTTCCTACATGATTTTGGTGGTTCCTTATTATCATTATACTAATTAATGGCTGCCGCCAATGCCGCCG